CCCAGTACCATTAGTTCATTTCCTTTTCCCCGTCCCATTTATTCCGTCCCATCCCATTTACACTTCCGCAAGCAAAAAAAATGAAGCGGCGAGACAGGGGACGTTTGGCAGGAAATCACGACGCTTTATTTTAGTGTTCTAGGAGTCCAAAAATCCCATAAACGGTATGTAACCCTTTTGTACAGTGGAGTTCATTAATTTCTGAGCTTAAAATTCATTCTCAGTTGATAAATTCTTTAGGCTTCCCATCGGTTGATAAATTGACGGGGACACTGCAGGGGATATTAGGACAATCTCGGATTTTGATTATGAGTTAGTTTGAGGAAATTGAAGTTTAGTTCAGGAGGTTAGAACCGGTGTTAAAACGACCAGATGTGGGTTTAATTGTGGATATGCCTTATGATAGTTTGAGAAGGTGATTGGGTATGATTTTCCATGATTATTGTATTTGGATGCACAGTGGGAAAATATATATCTCATGGTTATATTATGATGTTTAAGGAGGATGACTTGCACGAGGGTTTATCCCAAGGAAGTGCAATTATACGACTCCTGGTTATGTTGAGCCAATTGTGGCCAGGCCAAGAACATGTCCAAGTAATGAATTATGATTAAGCAAGATGAGATATGGATCATGTATAAGGATACCAAGTAAGAGTACTTGGATCTCATGGTCAATTACATAGTAATTAGGGCTCCCCATACTATTACTCCGTTATGATATGTTATGTCACACCCCTGATGTGGTGTTGACCGTTGATTCATCATGAGACATGACCACACCCAGAGTAGTGTTGAGTCCAGGGGCGGACACATGGAGGTTTAGGGGTGTCCCGAGACACCCCTAAAATTTGGAAAAACGATTATCCAACATTCGATAGTAGTTTGTGTATGGGTAAAAAAAAAAAATAGTGATAGTGGAACACCCTTAAAATATGGAAAATGATTATTGAACCTCCTATAGTATTATGCATATGGGTACAATTATGCAAATAATATTTAAGTGATAGGGTCTATGTGATTTGAACTTGGGAACACAACTACTATTAGTAAATATAGTTTCAATTAGACTACAACTCATTTGTAGTTATGTTTTAGATCAAAATATAATAGTAAAAGGCTATTTTTATCCCCAATTATTTTCAAAAACTAGCGATTAAACCCAATTATGGGTTACCCTTGTCTAGTAAGATATGTTATGAGAGATTTGTTGAGCAGTGTATACACCGAATGTATTTTACCATTCTTTCATAATACGGAACATGTTTGAACTATTATTCTAACTTTTACTAGTTGAATATTTTCATATTTAGTAATTATTTGATTTAATTTTTAATTTTTAATTTTTTTAAGCGGACACCCCTATTTAAAATTCCTGAATCCGCCACTGGTTTAGTCCGATATGACCACACCCAGAAAGGTGTCAGATCCGATATGACTACACCGACAATGGTGGGTCCGATATGACCACATCCACGAGATGTTTGGTCTGTATTCCCGGGAAATTAATTAGCATGAGAGTAGCCAGGCGCCTATGATTAAAACATGATAAGATGCATATGCATAAGTCAAAGTGGTTGAGTCTTTTTCCCATTGGGATATGAGGATGGCTGAGGTCCGATCTTAGTGTTTTGGCTTGGTTGCTAGATGTATGGTAGGGGTATTCTCTGTTATGAACTCACAATGCTATGATTATCTCACTCAGCTATGAGCTGACCCTCTTTTATCCTTTGCCTCTGCTTATGCTATGTGTAAGCAGATCATCAGCAGTAGCAGTAGCAAGTACATAGGTGTGATCAGAGTGAGGAGTTGAAGGCAGAATGAGGTATTGTCTTCAACTATTTTGTGCTTGGACTACTACTCGGGATTTTGGCCAGTGATCCCCACCTTATTGTAAAAATTGTTTTGAGAATGTTTTTCATTTGCATACTAGCTTCTGAGGTAGTGAGAGATATCCACAGGTGTGGAAAGTTGATAATATGTGTATATTTGTGTAATTATGTAAGTTGTGACGATTATAGCATGTATTAGTATGGTACTCAGTTATGTAGTATGAAACTGTGACTATGGCTATGAAAAGCCAATGCATATGGTTGTGAATATATATGTTTGTCTATAAATGCATGGAATGAGATGAATTATTTTGCAGAATTAGATGGAAAAACTATTAGCCCATTACGAGAGTAATTCATGTCGAAATTTTATTTAGGTAAATTTTGGTAATTAATGTAACACCAGTTTTAAATTCTACTACAATTGTATGAACAATATGATTAGGCAAAACATACAGAGTAGGGTGTTACAGAAGCTCTGGTTTTTGAACAGAACGTTAGCATGCAGCTGACCATTGTTAAAAGCCATTGAGTAGAGTTTGTGTGAAAGGAACGGTTTTCGGTGTGATGGGAAGAGGAAGAGTTACCCTTAATTTATACACATAGGGTGCAAAAACAAAAGGAAACTCTTTGTGAAAAGAAATTAAGGAGTAATATTTAGGTTGAGAGTCCCGAAAATCAATTAATCAAATATTCTAAAGAATCAGAGAGGATCAGAGTGAATCAATCTGAGAGGATCATAGTGAATCAATCTCATTTTGAAAAAAACATGCCAAGATCATGTCGTACATACAGGAATTTGTCTGAACCTAATGGCTTAGTAAATATATCTGCCCATTGCATGTCTGTACTAATAAACTCTAGATGTATTTTGCCGTCTTGAACAAGATCACGAATGAAGTGATAACACACTTCAATATGCTTAGTACGAGAATGTTGAATGGGGTTTTTGGTCATGTTTATGGCACTTGTGTTATCACACAAAATAGGAAGAGAACCTACATCTAAACCATAGTCCTGAAGCTGATATTTCAGCCACAGCAACTGAGTACAACTTAGTCCTGCTGCAATATACTCTGCTTCCGCAATAGATAAGGCAACATAACTTTGCTTTTTACTTGCCCAAGAAATTAAGGACGTGCCAAGAAAGTGACACGCACCAGAAGTACTCTTTCTGTCAATTACACATCCAACATAATCTGAATCACTATAACTAAGCAATTCAAGACTCGAATCACATGAATACCACAGACCAAGATATGCAGTGCTCACAAGATATCTAAAAATCCGTTTTACATCTGGCCGACTTGCAGTTAAATACAATAGCGAACCTATCATCCCTCTATACATTTTATCATTTACAGGTTCACTCGATTCGTCCATTGTAAGTTTGACTGAAGATCCCATAGGTGTGTTAGCAGATTTAAGATTTTTTTAAGTCGAAACGGTCTAACATGTTAAGAAGATATTTAGATTGACTTATGAAAATGCCCTTTTCTGTTTGCTGAACTTGCAGACCTAGAAAGTAAGTTAATTCACCCATTAAACTCATTTCAAAAGCCCCTTTCATTGCTGATTCAAATTCTTTGCAAAGCTTCTGACTAGATGATCCAAAAATTATATCCTCAACATATACTTGTACACGTATTGTATGACCATTTAAGCTCTTAATGAATAATGTTTTGTCCACATATCCTCTATGGAAGCCATCAGAAATTAGGAAATTACTTAGCTTATCATACCAAGTTCTAGGAGCTTGTTTCAACCCATACAACGCCTTATTCAACTTATATACATGATTAGGGAACTTATGATTTTCAAAACAGGGGGTTGGGCTACATATACTTCTTCTTTTAGAAATCCATTTAAAACGCACTTTTCACATCCATTTGATAGAGTTTAAACTTTCTTGACGCAGAAAATGCACGCAACAATCTAATAGCTTCTAGTCTAGCCACAGGAGCAAAATATTCATCAAAATCTATTCCTTCTTCCTTATCATCCCTGTCTCTTTCAATCGCCATTATTTGGCAGCTACTGCTTCCACCGTTCCTCATCATGATGCTATGTCGGAGGAAAGGCATCCTTGTCAAGATCCTAATGCAAGCGAAAGTCTCGAGCTCAATTCCTCGACCTCAGCGTCAATCGATCCAATCGAATAGGTGTGCTTATGGATCGACGATCTCACTTCAGCCAGATTGGTAATTTGTTCGGTCGCAACAAAGCGTTTTAAAATTGTTAGAAACCGAACAGAAAAATTAGGGTTACTGAATCTGGCTAAGTCGCGGACTAGGTCGCTCGCTTTAAGACGTTCGTGACACTGCCCTCGTTGCGCACGGCAGACAGCCGGTCGGTTCCAGAATAAAACAGCCACTCATTAAATTTGCTCGGCGGTTTTGTGCGAAAACCAGAGCTCTCTAAATCTCACTCTCTATAGTGTTTCTGCTCTCTAAGGTGTCTTTAGAGGGTCTAAGGGTCTGCTATTTATAAGAGTAGAAAACCTAGAATATTCCCTCTTTCATTGGGAATAAATAGGGATGGCAAAAAATATCCGTAACCGTGGATATCCACGCGAATCCGACCTAATCGGGTAGGGTAAAACCCGAACCCGAAAGACATTTAGTGGGTACGGGTAAAACCCAAACCCGAATATTGTAGGTAATGGGTGGGCATGGATTTCTCACTATCCAACCCGAACCCGCCCGATTATACAAATGCATATGTATTTTCTCTAGATATAATCATTATTTTTCTCTAACATATTTTATATTTAGCATATAAGTATATTATTTTCATGAAATTGTGTTGTTTTAATTAATTTTCTTCATTCTAGTGAATTATTGTCGTACTTTTCCTGTTACGTAATGTGAGAATTCGTGTGAATGTTAACATATTGGTTGAAGTTATGAAGAGAAATGATTACCCATGGATAACCGTGGATACCCGAAACCCGAACGGGTATGGGCATGGTTTTGATTTTCTACCCGTTTCACATGTGGGTATGGGTATGGGTAAAACCCGAACTACTTTGGATAGGGTAACGAATATGCACTATCCGCCCCCGACCCGACCCATTGCCATCCCTAGGAACAAACCACATTTTAATTAGGAAGATAATTACTCACATAATTAAAATGCATTATATTAAGATAATTAATCCTAATTATCTCCAGAATATTGCTTTTATTAATTATCCGTCTTATATTCGTATCTAGAAAGAATATTGGATAATTAATTCAATATAGCGTTCAAAGCTATTCATACCCAACAGTTATCAACAGCAGTAAAAGCAAGTGACGATTACAGTCTATAAGTAACATCCCGAACCTTTTCCCGACAAGATACTGTCCGCTTTGGGCCTCTACACCCTCACGGATTTTGACTTGGAGTGCAATTCAGGGTGACTTCCCATAAGGTCACCCACGTTTAACTTCGGAGTTCTCACAAGATCTTTTCCATTACACCCCAAATCACGTCTTGTCAGTTAAGGTCGGTTTCTTACTTATGAACCATGGATCTCTCCCATGCTTTGTCGATGTGGGATTCGCCTGAAGTGTTACACTATACTCTTAACAACTTGACTTCCCCAAAGTCTGCTTCCAGCTCCGGCTTTCCACACACCAGGAAGCTGATCTCTTTATAGATTCTCTGCGCCACCGCAGCTGGTGTCAACGCAGGCTCTCCCTTACAACGTCTACACCGCTCGTACCAGATATGTGCAATCACTAGGCTCCAGACAATCCCACGAACTCGCCCTGCTGTAGTATTGGAAGAATTGTTGCTGCAAGCTGCTGTCAAAGCTGCATCCCAAAAGCAATGGTTAAACCAGTTGAGACCAATGCCACATGCTGCGATTTGCGCTGAATACGAACACTGAAAAAACAGATGGTCGCTAGTCTCCAGACCACCATCACATAGTGGACAGTTGGCTTGCGTTATCCTACCCCATTGAAGTTGTTTATCTCTTGTCGTGATGGCATTCCTCGTAACCAACCCGACAATAAAGCTAAACCGAGGAACATGATTCTTCCCCCACATCAATTTGTACCATTCCACATGCGCAGCTAATGGTCTGAGTGAGTTTCAGACCAATGCCACTGAGTATTGTTGAATACTTCTCCCATCCCAGAGTACATCCCTATCTTGCTGCTGGAAATGAATCCTAAGCAATGGCCTGAGCTTGAGTATAAGCCAGATGAGCCTAGTTGTACAAGCCTGATTCCATACAACCAGGTTTTTGATTCCCAGTCCCCCTTCAATCTTAGGTCAAGCTATGTGATCCCAAGCAACCTTAGATGTGCCCGTCTAAGCTCCGTGCCACAAATAGTCTGAGCACACTTTCCAAATCTGCAAAATGAATTTCTTTGGGAAGACGAACACCTGTAGCCAATATTGAACAATTCCCATCAGAACCGAGGTGACTAGCTGAAGCCTTCCTACATATGTTAATTTTTTTGCTTGCCAAGATTTGATCCTCTTAGTAAGCCTTTCAATCAACACATCACACTGCTTTTGAGTAAATTTGCCAGTGATTAATGGCACTCCCAAATAACGAACTGGCAAGAAGCCTTCCTGAAACTCAGACAGATCTAGTGCATTCTGTTTATACTGATGTGCCTCTCCTCCAAAATAAACTTTGCATTTCTGAGGATTGCACCTTAACCCAAACCAGGTATAGAATTCATGCAAACGATGCTTAACCCTCCCAATTGCTTGAGCAGAGCCTTGAGTGAAGATAAGTAGGTCATCCGCAAAGCAAAGGCTTGTTAGTTTCACCTTTTTGCATTGCGGATGATAAGGAAGAAAACTAGAGTAAGCAGCTAGATTAAACATCCCAGAGAGTCCTTCCATGGCAATTGTAAATAGATATGGAGACAAATGGTCTCCCCGTCTCACCCCTTGTTGTGCCGCAAAGAAGCCACAGAGTCCCCCAGTCACATTAAAACTGAATCTTGGTGTTTTAAAACACACCTAGATCCATTGTATGAAGAGACATATATATCTTGTCTTTTAGATGAGATTGTTGAGATAAAATATGAGATCGTTGAGATAACTTGTGTGATACTTTTGTGTTTATCTTTGTTTAAACTATATTTTTAATCTTTTTATATATAAAACAAATGATAAAAATGATACTACCTCAAAAAGAAATCTAATTTATCTATAATAAATATCACAAAATTAAAGGATATAAATAACAATACAATTTTGTACATGTTGTTGGGGAAATTGTTCACGTATACTATATTTCTTGCAACACAAGCAAACACATAATATTAAGAAAACATGCAAAGACACATGCAAACGTCCTAGCCGACATAATTTACTATCTCTCATTAAGGATTATTATTCCCCTCTAGTACCCAAGGTTATGGAATGATTCCTCCCAGGATAGAAAGGACGTACCTTTTTCTGCGTAGCGGTACCTCAAACCCCGAAACCCATCAAACGCAGCGAACCGGATAGAACCACACTTGACTCTATTTTCTCTTTGAAAAAGAATGCAGAAAACTAGATTAGAACTTTGGGAGAATTTCAGTATTGGAAAAATCCATCTATATCTCGTAATTAAAACTAGAGGGGGTATGGTGCTATTTATAGAAAATGAAGGGGTGCATTGAAGGGAGGCAACTCTTCATGTGGGTGGTTACACCCCAACCAACACATTGGTTCTTTTTAAAATAATGAACCATTGCATTGGTTCGGCCTATGGTAGTTGGACCGGTTTGGTTATTCCAACAGCCATATCGGTTCGGTTTGATTTGGTTCAATTCGGTTTGGTTTGGTCCGTTTGGTACACAAACCAATTTAACCGATTAACCACATATTATATCAAATCGATCGAATTCAAGGTCGTGCCTTCCCACATCTTACCAACATGGTACTTCAAGAGACTCTCTTAAAACTTTCCCCTTTTATTTCCATTCACACCACTAAAAATCCCAACAATCTCCCACATGAATGGAGAATGTTGTACTTTAAAAACTATGCAAAAAATCGTGTGATTCTTGACTAAGAATTAGTTGCATCGGAATAGGTAGGTTTCCCTTTGAACCTTCCTTAGTGAACATATATCGAGTACTCTCACCAATCGGTAGATGTGATATCTTTGAACCGTCGGTTTTGCTTGTATACTAAGACAACATATGTCACACAACTAACTCTTATCCGTTCACTGGTTCTCATTGTTGTGTTCGTTTTAGCCATGAACACCGCCTGGTCTCATGAGTGCTTAGAGAACTGGCCTTCTTTTATTCTCCTTGAAGCGGCTCCACTTCACACTCACAAAGGTGATTTCTAAACATGTATTCCAAAAATACTTGATCACATCCTGTGTCAAACTTAGAAACCATTAAAAGCCTTCCATCTTTAGGTTTACCCTTATAGTTGGACATTGTCTCATCATGAGAATGGACCTTGAATAATTTGACAATGTTGGACCATCATTCACAACTTTGTTTTCTCCTTGAACCTAGAGGTGGGTCTGCCAATCCTACTTAGGTAGAGCTACCGCTATGATGATTTGTCCTAGGCCACGAGTCCATTCCCTTCGATGCTAGCATTAATTTCTTGGTAGGCCTCACGTTTGTTATCACTTGATCTAAGATGATCAATCCAAATAACTTGGCTAGAAATTAATCAATCCATAGTGTTACGTTTCCATTATTTTTGACGAGATTTAACACACAACACTCCTAGCCCTTGCAATAACACCTTTGTGCACAAGTGCGTTTTATTAACGCTAGTCTATGCGGGCCAGACTATTAAACTTCACCGGTCTTAGAGTGGGTATATATTTAGTCAACTTGGATGTTTTCCAAGGTACTGCTCCCCATCAACCATAAATCCACATCCATCAATGGATTATACCTTGTCGTTCATCCGGTAAGTTCCTTTGGGTATAGTACACCAAAGACTTGTCTCTTTCGATCCACTACACATCATGTGTGTTTGCCTTGATTCTATTGCCTTGCAATAATCATAACACATGCCAAAGGTATTGAAGTCTCTCTACTTCATTAACCTTAGAGTACTTAAACTTCACAAGTATATCTTCAAATGTAGTGGCATTTATGACCTAGCTTAGGATTTACGTAAAACTCCTAAGTATCAGTGTATCACTTTCACTTTAGAATCACCCAAGCGACATTCCACATCACTTCTCCCCAATTTATCCCCCCACATTTCAACTATTTTGCCATAGTTGTTGAAACCAACGTTTCCCGTTTGGGGAATGTTGTTCATATACATTTATGTATATGGTCAAAATCATCTCTTTGGGAAGAGTGGATCAACATCAATAAATATTCTAGCTCTCTGACATAACGTCAATATATGCTAGAGTTTACTCATAAGTTATACCCTTGGACTGGGTTAACTCCACAAGGTTTAAGGACTCTCACTTTCTCATTGGACACCTTCATACTTTCAAGTATGACTTCGTTTACCTTTCCACTTCTGTCTTATGGATAGGTTTGCGTTCCATTGTAGGGTCTTGAAATAGTAGCCGAAACAATGGCTAGCTCTTCTCCCCCCACAATTCTACCCTTTGCCAAACATCATAGAATAATTCCATTAATTTTCCATGGTTTTACTTATTGAACTTGCCAACCACTATATGTATCTAATTGTTTACCAATAGTATGATCTCACTCGATTAGCATAACACAAACAATTCAGATTTTATTAGACATATCATCCAATTACTTACCAATGGTATTGATCAAGGCAACTTGAGATGTCATAAGTAATTCAGATGCATTCCAGTAATGGAAATCCCATCTAATTACTTACCAATGACATTTCATCTATGTAACATGACATACCACAAGTAATTCAAACGAATTTCTAATTCAATTGTCTAATTACTTTCCAATGGTATAAACTTCATAAATATACCATAAGTAATCCAGTCTTTAAGTTCAGATCATCTCAATTGAGCTCTCATTCCAAATTGTTTTCCAATGATATACATCTATATATACCATAAACAATTCTAGCAATTAGCTCCACGTTGATAATCATAGTCAAATTGTTTTCCAATGGTATAGTGTACTTATACCATAAACAATTATGACCTAATGCTTATCTTGATGACGACCATCATTTGGCAAGCTTATTAAATCCTTATAAGGATCAATCACTTCATTTTCCTTGCCCTCGTGGCATAGGAAACATCAAGTCCTAAATCACATACATAATAAACATATTATTATTATGTCTTCACAAGCATCTTAGGAATTAAAATTCCTTTTCGCTTATGGCTTACTCGTAATGCAATCCTTTAAATGTGCATTAACCAAATTCCATTTCCAACACATTGGAGGTATACTCTTTCATAATTATGTTCAACTTAATTTTAACATAACTTTTGCAAACATTCTGGCTTAGATAAACTTGACTCACAAGTCCACACTTGCCACGCGCCATAGGTTTTACACACCTATTATTGTTCATAGTTTCCCACTAGATAGTTTATCACTATCCAAACCACCATTACTTAGAATCCATGAAGGACTATCATAAGTTCTTCCATCGTCTCATGCATCACCTTGAATGATAAAGTGTCCAAATTAAATTGGTACAATTATCATTCATCCATGCCACATAATTGAGATGGACCAATGCAATAAAATAAAAGCATTAAAACTTTGTGGTTAATTTTGGAACCAAACAAACTCGTAAGATTTTATCCAACTAATTTTCCACTTGGGAGATAAGAACATTTGTCCTTCATTCATCATGTAAATACACGAATTACATAGGTACACACATACTAATACCATATGTATATATACACACACATACATATGTCTACCCCTCAAAGGAGATTACAATACATATACAAGAATCCTAAGGATTCTTGGGGTCGAAGTCAGGATCAGAGAGGCATTCATCAGTCACTATGTAGGAGTACTCATCCTCGTGCTCCGATTGCTCAACTTCCTCTTCTTCCCCCATACTCTCCATCGAGTTCACATGGGTGCCCAAATTGTCCACATTATAACCCATTGAGTACCAATCATAGATGGGTATTCCATCTAGAGTCCAATAATTGGTTGGATGCTCTTCACCAATGTCATTATATAACAAATTCCTGCTATCGTCATAAAAATCGAACCACTCTTCATTGTCAAACTCCATTTCGGGAGTAGAGAGATCAATGATCTCCAAAGCTGATTCGATATTGATAACTTCTATGACATCATCCTCATCTCAATCAAGATTGATGGGACTCCTAGGCTTTGGAATGCTTCCAGCCATCTTGTTCCAATTTGCTTTCAAGTTTGTGAAACAAATAAATATTAACTCCATCTGTCACATATACTTCCCAGCCAAACATATTGTCAAGACGCACGTATGCAAACAATCTGGATATATATGCAAGACATGTAAATTTTTTTTTTTTTTGCTTTAAGGGAGGCCGAAGCCAAAGAGATAGAAGACAAAAGGGGGAGAAACAGAGCGCTAAGAGGAGGAGGAGGCCACAACTTGGCGATCAAAGGAAATTCCCCTAATATCATCCTGTAAGATACGCCCTAGCTCACTAGGTGGATTAGCCAGCTCATGCATACCGTAGGGATAGACGAGACTATGCTTCGAGAGCCAGTCCGCGGCTCTATTCCCTTCCCGATATGTATGAACTATACTAACCAACCAATCCTGAGCTAGTCTCCGCCGGATAGAGGCAAGAAGAGCTGCATAAGGGTGCACCGGATCATGACGATTCCTGATGAGTAGAATCGCCAGCTGAGAGTCCGTCTCTATGACAAGATTAGCACAACATGACTTCCAGGCCAAACTAAGGCCGTGGTAGAAGGCCAGAGCTCCGCTAGCGCGGCAGTGGCCTAACCGATCTTCGCTGCAAAACCTGCAACCCACCGGCCTTGGGAATCGCGGATCAGACCGCCCGCCTCGGCAAGCCCCGGGTTGCCTGCCGACGCACCATCTATGTTAAGCTTCATCCATCCCTGCTGCGGGACATGCCACTGTATGCTTATTGTCACTCGGCCCCTTCCTGTATCGCTGCCATTAACTCCCAACGAAGGGGAGCACCAAGCCTTGTACCAAAGATCTGCTTTCTGCTGAGTTGAGTGAAGTAACGACGGAGCAGTCAGAGCCTTGTGCGCTCCTTGGAAAGCAGTGATACACCTGTTTTTCCACAACAACCAAATAGAGATGCTGAAAAAAGCACTCCATTTTAGAAGCATCTAGTGCCATATAATCAATGCAAGAACAAAAGTATTTTATATTAGCAACAAAGGGATCGAGTGCTTCCAATTATGCATTTACACAAATTCTTGCATTCTTGGCCAATTAACGATTGACCATTATATAATGGTCTATTTAATGTATGAAAAGCACACGTTGCCAAGTATAAATATACATAACAGTGGCATGGCAGTAAGTAAATATGCAATTAAACATATCTCATTCATACTTATCCTTGATTCAGAAAGGAAAAGGAAGAATGGTACCAGTTTCAAGTGATTGTCCTGACGAAAGTCTGCTTCCCCCCCCCCCCCCCCCCCCCCCCCCCCCTCTCTCTTTGAGAAATCAACCAAA